AACTCCCATGTTTAGCCAAATAGCTGTTTCCACGGGAATATCTGATCACGACTTGGAGAAGGTCAGTCTACCCGCAGTTGTGGGTGTTGCCTTACTTTTTTGTAATTATCAATATATGCGCGCTTTGCTGTTTTGTTAGAACATAGCTGTGTAACTCCGTTGCACCCAGTGCTGTCACCACGTCCAATTTTGCCCTATACTGCTCGCCCACTTCTTGCTTGCATCTTGCTAGTCATGTGAGCCAAGATTATTGAGCAACACTTAGGGTGAAACCATTATTAATTAATGTACACTACCTACAACCCTATAGAGAGAGTAGAAATGTCGGGAAGTTGCGATTGTATGTCGAGGTGTACACATTCCCTTCCTTCCGCGTCAAATACTGAACATGCAGTCATTTTACTGTGATTACTTACAATTAATATAGACAACAGCTCCTTTCCTCATATTTGTGCTCAGAAACCCCATGTGTTTACATGACCTTTGAATTGCTGGCGAGATAGCGGCCTTATCTCATTTTCAGCAAAATTTGACTGGGCAGAAATAATGAACGCAAATAAAAAGCTGAGATGTAATCGAAATGTAGGTATGCGAAATTTGGGCCTTATCGTCAGGAAAAAATATGTACTTGAAAAACATATATCCACGTATATACACGTAAATGCATAATTCTTACAGACCTTCTGCTTCGTATGTGTAGATACTCTTTAGTTTTTAGGATCTCCTTGCTCGCTTGTTTAATTTGACGAGCTTTTACTACTAGATACATCTTTTGAATTCAAAAATTTTAGTTGCGTGATATTTGCGCAGCTGTACCTGAACTGGATTATATCTGCATCGACGTTGCGAATGGATATTCTGAGTATTTTATTGAATTCATTCGTAAAGTTCGTGAAGAATTCCCGAGGTACGCTGCCACTTTTCAATTCCACTTTTCATTCATTTAGCACAAAAATTTTAAGACATACAGTGTTGGCGGGAAATGTGGTGACTGGAGAAATTGTCGAAGAATTGCTTCTCACTGGTGCTGACATTGTAAAGGTATGGAAAATATATCCTTTTTATCTTTTAAGCTTAGCTCTTCCCCACTAAGCTGTTTGTGGTGTAACATGTCCTTCATTTTTAATCTCATCATTTATAAGAGAGTTCTGCTTTTTTTTAAAAAAAATTTTTTGTTTGGTTGTATTCCTAACGTCCGAATGATAGGAAGTTTGTTTAAGTTTCACAAGATAAGCCTTCCGCCGGAAACTTGCATCGTTTTTTGTAGCCTTGCCATCTATCCGTTTTATTTGTAACCATCGTTTTTCAGGTGGGTATTGGACCAGGATCTGTTTGCACTACGCGAAAGAAGGCTGGTGTTGGTTACCCGCAGTTAAGCGCTGTGGGTTTTGTTTCCTTTTCTCCGAATCAGTAAAACTTCTGGTATTGTATTTGTACTAAATAGCCGCAAACTTTTCTAAGCAGTAATATCTGGGACTTTATTGTGCTTTTCTTAGAGTTTGATCGT